CTTCTTGGCGTTTTCGAAGCATCTGTGAAGAGGATTTAGATAAAGTTTTGAACGACTAATAGATTTATACTAAAACAATTAGATTATTCGCTCTTGATTGCTAGTTGACTCGGGCTGTGCCCTCGTCAACTATCATGCGATAGAGATCTCGAGCTCACTATCTAATTGTTTAATAGAAACACGAGTGGAAGTTTGGTAGAAAAAGAAATGCTGTGGGACCAAAAGCCGCAGGCGAGTGTTTCCACAGCTTTTTTGAGCTCTCCCAAATTTTCACGGGTGTTTCTATAACTCGGTAGAAACACGGAGAACATGGTTTCTATTTCTTTTAGAAAACACCGCGACGAAAAAAGGGAAAGCAACTTGTTTACTTTGATCATCAAAATGTAAATTCTCTTAGCTTACGCCATCAATACGTCAAGCGCTCGTGCTTGTTCTGTGTTTCTATCGAGTTTTGGTATTAATCTGTTAGCGTTCTACCACGAATGACGTTCTCTGATTGGCTACGCTATTCACTATCTATTCTGTGATAGATAGTGTGTAGCGCCGTAGCATTGTGCCCCTGTTAACAAAGTGACGGCCGCTTCTTGGCGTTTTCGAAGTGTCTGTGAAGAGGATTTAGATAAAGTTTTTAACGACTAGTAGATTTATACTAAAACAATTTGATTATTCGCTCTCGATTTCTATGCGTGATAGCTGACTCGGGCTGCGACCTCGTCATCTATCATGCGATAGAAATCTCGAGCTCATAATCTAATTCCTTAATAGAAACACGATTTTTAACCAATCGGCGCGCGTATTTTCTTGGGGCTGTTTTCTAAAGCTGAATAGTTGTCGTTGTAGCCTTATGTAGGTCACTATAGCAGCGTCTATTACAGTTTATATAATAACCCAAGTTATTCTCACATTATCATTGGTTCTCGCCGAAGTTCTGTTAAAGGACAGACGCACGATTGACGTCATCATTACAAAGTTTTTCCCTCTGTGTTTTAAAATGGCGGAAAGTTTTAAGAATTTGGATAATATTTTACGTGACTCACTGGGCGAAAGATATGGTACAAAAATTCTTGTCGATGCATTGAACAGGTACGAGAAGCAGAAAGAATGAAGAAAAAGCCGTTTGCTTCCTAGAAAGTGACTCAGAAAAAATACTCGAGCAGTCCCAGTTGGCGGTCGAGCGAGACTAAACCAAACACAAAGTTGGTTTTGAAATTGAGCTTACTTTAAGGAAGAAATCATTGCTTTGTCTCGAATTTAAAAACCCAGTATACAAAATGGTTATGAGGTGAATTTATTTAAAAAGTTCAACTTGTCTCTGTCTCAAAATAATTGTTGACACAGATTGATGTCACGAATGAAAAATCAAAACATCACCTTGCTCTCTGACGCGAATGTTCCAATTCGTTTCAGTGCACAGCAGCGAACAAAATATAGCTCCCTACAGCTCACGGCCAACTGTATCGCAGCCATAATTTGTCTCCGACATTATATCAAACTAATTTGAAAATCACCTACCACAGAGGACTCAAATTTACACCGTCGCTAACGCTCCCTTCATCCAAAACTTGAATCGAATGGCCTCTAGTGTTGACCGCAACCGCAAGTTTTCCGAGCGTATTTTTTCAACTCCTGCAATATTCAAGGCAACGTCCAAGCTTTTCGGCTTACAAGGCTGCTTTGATGACAAAAACTGACTTAACTTGTCCAGCATTTTCTTTAAGCTTTGTAGATTTAGAAGTTGATTTCTGCTTTCGCTGAAAGTTTTCATTCCACGAGAGGCCAGGCTCGAGTCAAGTTTGACAGTGGCGTGATTTTCCTGGACCAATCACAATTCTTTTCTAGGCATAGCAACCAATGAGATTGCTTTATTTTGTATAGAAAATAAATTACGTCAAATGGCTTTTTTTCGTGTTAGCCAATGAAAGGGGGCAAAGACCGGCTTTCGAGTTATGTTGAAAGATTTTGAAATATAAAAGCTTTATCTGTAGTAGTTTGTTTCGTTATTGCGTAAAACAAATAGATTCCATGTTGCCGGTGACACACTCGGCTATCGCCTCGTGTGCCACTTTTTTGTTCTTACCGCATTTTGACGTCATCTGTGGTCTACTACTGAACAGACGCACAGCAACGTGGAATCTATTTGTTAAATATCTCTGATTGTAACCTTTGTGATGTTCTCGGGACATTTGATGGACCCTTAAATGACGTCACTAGCCTACCGGCTTTATTGCATGCGAGATACCCCGCAAGACAGATATCTCTTCTTTTCTGCTTATCGAGAAACAATATTAGCCGCTCGATGACCTGTCATGCATGCGCAAACTGCGTCAGCGTGATAGCGGCGACTGTACTTGTATTCTGACTTTTTCACGGTTAATTTTTCATAGAAGCAGCAACAATTTCGAGAAGTTTTACAAGGTACTAAGCGAAAAGGAAAAAGAGGATTAAACCGAAATTGACTGTTTTGGATTCACATCCAGCTTCTTTGAGAGCACATATTGCGCCTCGTATGGATACCCTCGTCCCTTTCGCGCTTTACCTTTTGGTAATTATCCTCCGGTTTTTCTTTTTCTTTTCTTTTTCTTTTGTTGCTTTTATTATTTTAGATATATTTGTGTATATACATTCCCAATAAAGATTATTAAAAAAATAACTGGCAAAGGTAAATTACTGTACAGCAGTAGTTGATGGAACGTTGTGAACAGCCAGAAATCAAAGATTGCCAGTTATTTATCAGACGAAATTTGGAACTTTGATGCGTGCGTGACCAACCCATGTCAGTGCAGCGGCCAATTGCAATTTGCAACCAATCAAAAGACAGCAGATATTGTCGGCAGTCTTATAAACGTCAAGCGTGACTGAAGTTTTAAAACTTGTCAAAAGCCTGTAGGTTTAATTTACTCGCGCCTGATTGTGAACGGCAGCTAATTAAATTCTCTCTCGTCTCTCAGAGAGGAAAAAGAGAAGGGAATCTCTGTCTTGCAGGGTACATACGAGAATGCCTTACTTTAGATCGCGTGGTCTGCCCAAACCACGACGGACTGCTTGTTGGTCATTTTACTCGATAGTACTCTAAGTTACCTGCAGGACAGAGAAGACATGAACCATACATGCCATCGATATCGCTATAAAATCCAGCTGCGCAAAGACTGCAGTTAGAGCATCTGTAGTAGGGTCCAGGTCTGCATCGACGGCACACGAAGCCTGAACGCCGAAGGCCGACTGTGTAAAAGATTTTCTCACCAATTGATAGTACGTAAAACGATTTTGAAGGAGCACATTCACTAAGTGGATAAAAAATGCGACAATTAACACGATTTCGATAGTAACAAATTCACCTTCTATTGCTGCTTAAATGCAGCTTGTACTCCATGTAACTGACATTTAGCGTTACTTCTCGATCAACATACTGTCTTCCGACCATCTGGCCCTTGTATTTGCGTGAAAGTGAGTTCTATCACCCATTTGTTGTAAAATGTACGTGTGATTTATTTCATGTTCCATGGAAATGCAAACAATCAGTTGCAGGTTAACACTTGCCAAATGATGTAACATATATCGGCAGAAACAAAACGACTTTGCATCCTTGCTGAATTTTTAATGAAATATTTGTAATTTTTTGAGCACATCCCTGTTTAATCATTTTGCACGCGTAATAAAGTATCGTTTGTTGCTACAGTGGACAATTTATCCGTAGATAAGGAAAACGTCTCACCGAGACTACGTTCGATGATAAATTTTCTAACATGGTTCCGAAGCTTTCAGGACAAAATGGAAACTCTTGAAGTTGCTTTTGTCCCTCAATATGCCCAAAAGAGACTTGGATGCAAAGAAAACACAACCAGATATAGAAGTTTGTCCGGAAAGCCTCGGAACTATGTTAGAATACTGATATATAGAACGTGCTCTATTGCTGCTGTATTTGGCCTCCAACAATCTAGCCAGCAACGTAGTTCTAGCATATACTTACATAGTCATTGACAAGTATTTCCTTCGAGGTAGTTGGCGAAGCTTGTTGCAAGTTAAAGACCTAAAAATCGTTTAATCGTTGTAAATACGCTTCCAATTTGTATGCTACAATTGGGGGCAATTGTTCACCCTTAAAGTACTCAGGGTCACTAATTCATTGGTTGTGATTGTTATGAATTCTAGATCTTTGCTTATATACTTATTTATCTACTGAATTTCATGGCACCCAAAAATTCATTTGAATGACGGTCATTTTAGTATTTAAGGACTTACCAGAGAAAGGTAAAATTTTGTTAATTTGTTAATAATCAATTAAAAAAACATATTCCTGTCAAATTACGGTTACCTGGGAAACGTAACGTTTCTTGTTCAATGGCATGTCATGCCAAATTGTTCCCAGCTGAGTTTTTTTTTAATCAAAGGTTGAAATGTGAGGGGTCAGGTCCATTCATTACTCGTCGAAATTTTGGCATGACTCTCCATGTCATTTGACATTTTCATAGCGGCTGCATGTTGCATCAGGTCAATTTCGCGTTTTTTGAAAAAGTTCTTCGTAATTTTCAGGTTTCTTGTGCACTATTGCAGACCAAGAGATAATCTCTTGTGCAGACATAGTAACTTTTAACATTCTATTACCTTTTTTGGATAATTTTTCGTCAATGTACTATATTCTCTGACTTTAAGAAAAAATAAGAAAATCCATAATGGTGGAGTGTAATACGCAAAGTAATAGACCAATTTCGATATATTAAATTTCAGCCTAAAACAATAGACCTCATATCAGCACAAGGTTCTGGCGAATAACTACAGAGTTTGTGGGGTTTATTTCCCAGAGCCTCGTGCTGAGGTCTATTGTTTTAGTCTGAATTTTAATGATGGTGGTGGTGGTGGTGGTGGTAGTAGTAGTGTACTACTTACACTTTCGCATCGTGCGACATTTCATCAAATATTTTGTCTTGTAAATATTCCAACGGATTATCAAATAATGTTCTGAAAAGGAATCAGTAATAATGTTATTAGAAATGTATACAACTTTTGTTAATTAATCGTTGTTATATATTATAGCTCGATATAGTTTTACTTGGAAAGAGCAATGCGTGAAAATACCTGATTGTACTACATAAAATTGGAATATTTCCATTTATTAAATCCATTTTGAAATCACTGGTTATCCTTGCAATCTGATTGGCTCTCAGTGGTGCGATTTATTCACGAATCGCACAATTTTTTGCTCTAAATCGCATCTTTTTCTCAGCCAATGAGCATGGGACAGTAAAACAAAACAAACAATCAGATTTCAATATTAGTTTAAAGTAATCAGTAAAATTTCAGGAAAATGAAAGGTAAAAATCCATTGTGTGGAGAATTTTGCAACTACTATTGCCAAAACTGTGTTGTTGTTTTCTTTTTTCCAAAAAAATTGACGAATTTAATTAATTACAGTTTCTAAATGACGATTATGAGCTCCTTCAGGTTGAAGACCTACTTAAATGGAAGTTTCCAACTTTCAGTGTCCATTTTGACGAATAGTTTGGCGATTTTTCTTCAACATCTGATCAAGATCCGTATGATAGCGAGTCCAGTAAAACATAAACAAACGAAAAGCACACAACAACAAATTCAGAGCCATCTCAAGAAGGTAAATGTTTCCAGGTTTCCGGTAGTTTCAAACGAAGCAACAAAAGAGCTCAACTCTGTCGCTGTGAATAAACATAGTCTAAATACNATTGTACTACATAAAATTGGAATATTTCCATTTATTAAATCCATTTTGAAATCACTGGTTATCCTTGCAAATCGATTGGCTCTCAGTGGTGCGATTTATTCACGAATCGCACTATTTTTTGCTCTAAATCGTATCTTTTTCTCAGCCAATGAGCATGGGACAGTAAAACAAAACAAACAATCAGATTTCAATATTACTTTAAAGTAATCAATAAAATTTCAGGAAAATGTAAGGCAAAAATCCATTGTGTGGAGAATTTTGCAACTACTATTGCCAAAACTTTGTTGTTGTTTTCTTTTTTCCAAAAAAGTTGACGAATTTAATTAATTACAGTTTCTAAATGACGATTATGAGCTCCTTCAGGCTGAAGACCAACTTAAATGGAAGTTTCCAACTTTCAGTGTCCATTTTGACGAATAGTTTGGCGATTTTTCTTCAACATCTGCTCAAGATCCGTATGATA